ACAGAGGCCAGAGTGATTGTTTTGTGTCTGGAAGCTTTTCGGGGCTCTTGTCCTTTTCTTCTCCTGGTTTACATACCTAAAGCCAAAGAGGTTTAAAAATTACATTTATTTATCTCTGTGTCTGTGTGTATTTGTATGCATACATACATGTAGGCAAAACATATACGCATAAAAATAATACCAACCTAAAAAAATGGCATTAAGCCAGGCATGGTGGTATACGCTTTTAATTTCCTCACTTGGGAGGTCGAGGCAGGATTGCTGTGAGTTGTAGGCTAGCCCAGGCTATGTAACAAGAGCGTGTGCGTGCGTGTGTGCACTTGCTTGCTTGATACGGTGTTATATGTCTATAATTACACTTGAGAATCAGAGGCAGGAGGATTACTGGAATTCCAGGATAGATTTGTCTATATACTGAGTGTGAGGCTAGTGCTTTATAGAGGGATCCTGTTGTAAAAAAAAACAACAAAAAAACAAAGACCCAAATTGAATTAAGATGAACCTCTCTGCTTTTCATACTGGTAAGGTTGCAGGCAGGTTTTCTCCAGCAGGATTTAAGACCTCGTGCCACCCCCAGACTTACAGCCTGCCTGCATAGTTGTGCTCCTGGGGGAGGGGCATCAGTCTCTGTAGTTACAGCATGAGTCCCAGTGCGCTCTGAGCCCATTCCTTTTGGGGGACAGGATGCCCTAAATCTCCGAGTGCAGAGCTTGCGCCCTGCTCTAGCGGTGCCTCTCACTTGAGGGTGACTTGCCTCACCTGCCTTTGCGTCTATATCTCAAGTTGGTGGGAAGCAGAGGCAAAGGGAGCGAATGTCTATTCCTTTTCAGGAGAACATTCCAGAAGTGTGCATATTTAATATCTGTGTTCCATTAACCCAGTTCTCACCATTGGCCAGTCCTAGTTGCAAGGAAAACTAGGTTTGTTTCCACACAACTATATGTCTGGTTAACGGTTGTGGTGTGTGTGTGTGTGTGCGCGCGCGCGTGTGCATGTGTATGGGTATGACTTGTGTGTGTGTGTGTGTTCACACTCGTGTGTGTGTTGGCATGTAGTACTTTCTCTGGTTGCTCTCCACTCTAATATTGAGGCAGGGCCTCTGGCCG